AAAATTACTCTAGTAAATTACTGTACTTCAAATATAATAGTATATAATATGTGTATTACATGTGCTAAATTACTTTTGGCGTGATATCATAAACCGGAAGAATCGTGACCAAGGAAGAAAATGAGAGAAATGTAGAATTTAATTTAAATAATACTTATGTACTTGTGTTCATAGACCAGCGGTACTTAAACTATTTCAAAATTCAAAATCATAATCGAATTCAATTATATAGGTTGTTTCGTATGGTCATTATGATGTGAAATTTATTTTGTTTTGTTTAAAATTGACATTCCTGATTTTTTGTCGCTCCATAGTTCTTCAAATGTTACCGTGAACAACCAGAACATAAATTGCGTTCTTACCGTTTTTGTTTTATTTATCTAATCATAATCAAATAATCAAATATTATATATTCATTATCAAACAAAATTAGTTGACACATATTAGTAGATATGTTTGAACGAGGTCATAATTATGTACATTATAGATAAAAATGTAAACATAATTCGAGTGAAGATATTGGAATGTTCACATTAAACACAGCGTGGTAATGCCATGCCGCTTGTTCGAGGTCAAATAAATACCTATAGATACTACCTTTTAAATACCAATTAATACCTGAAAAATATTGTAAGTCCATTATAGTGTTATTGGTGAAATCCATTAGCACCTATCTACACCTTTATATAGGTTAATAGTTTTGTTATAATGTCACTTCGTCTCTGATTTCTGCTAAAACTGTCCTAATCGTGTTCTACCAATATTCTGATTACTTATTCGTCAAATTATAAAAATTTGTCATAAAATCTTTGTTGTTTGCTGATTAAAACAGTCAAGACTTAAATCTATAAAGATTTTTCTCAAATGCACTTAGTAACAGTCAATTGACTATAATGTAAAAAAAAATCAGAGTGCTTCCACTCATGACACCAATCTGTTGTCAGCGACTAGTATTTGTATTGAAAAAATATGTTTAACTCGTTTTTATCAATTATATGATTAACTAGGTCCCTAATCCTAATAGACTGTTCTGGTGCATTCATATTTTCGAATAGGTAGTACAAAGTAATAAGAAAATTTATTAGAATACTACATTGGTTTATTATTTGTAAGACAGTTAACTATGCAAAACATATTTTTCAAGGGGTATATGTGAATTGCGCCAGAAATCACAGGTAAAAAAAAAATTTGGGATTCAAAAAGGTAGGTAATACATCCACTGCGCCGGACGATATAACGAGGTTATATATTAATTGCGCCGGTGATATTGCACTGAAGTACGAATAATCGTTATGATATCGATATCGATATTTTATCAGTTTTTACAAA